CGAGGTTCCCATAGAAATTGTCAAATTAAATTCTAACAATTAGATGACTGGAAAAGGTTTATATAAGACCGTTGTCGCCAAGAAAACGTATCTGATGCAAAAGTAAAAATGTGGAATATAAGATATGCTTTGCTTATAACAAGATCATTTCGGAATATATTGTTTGTATTGTATATACATAAAGCGGCTAGATGTATATAAATTTTAACATGTAATTAAATAGATAAAGAAAGTTGTAGGAAAAGAAGTCGTGTGTGTTATTTGTCATATGTTTGTTTGGTGTGTCTTTGCTGGGGCAAGGTTCATTGCTTGGTCAGGCACCTTTTGATTTCTTTTTCTGATACCCGGATATAGAGTCCTACGGAATGTGCGTTTCTAGAGAGTTCACTGGCTCCCCTCTATCGCTTTCACGGTAACGTGACTGTGCTGCACTAGACAAGAGCTTTGCGACAATACATTCAGAACAATGCATTGACATCACAAAATGTCGGAGAAACTGAAATGTGCAAGTCTGGAGCAGCGCACAGGAAAGATAACAGAGATAAGTCAAAAAATCCATGACGATCCTGTAATGCATTAGATGTTGGCAATTTAGGAGAGAGATGATGCACTTCCTTATTTCCCATATGATCCCGTCTTCGTCTCTTTGTTTTTTTCTTTTCTTTTCTTTTTCTTTTTCTTTCTTTTTTTTTTTNGTTTCTAGAGAGTTCACTGGCTCCCCTCTATCGCTTTCACGGTAACGTGACTGTGCTACACTAGACAAGAGCTTTGCGACAATACGTTCAGAACAAAGCATTGACATCACAAAATGTCGGAGAAACTGAAAGGTGCAAATCTGGAGCAGCCCACAGGAAAGATAACAGAGATAAGTCAAAAAATCCATGACGATCCTATAATGCATTAGATGTTGGCAATTTAGGAGAGAGATGATGCACTTCCTGATTTCCCATATGATCCCGTCTTCGTCTCTTTGTTTTTTCTTTTCTTTTCTTTTCTTTTTTCGCTTTTCATTTTTAATGCAATATTTACACAATAGGTTATTGGCTAGTTGGAAAGTGATATCTTTTTCACTATCACCAAATCAACGGAAAAAGATGTTGCTTCAGTAGTCAATCAATCAATCAACCAACCAACCAATCAATCAATCAATCAATTTATAATTCAGTTTCCAGTTTCGCTTTTCCTGCATGGGGGAATGGAAATATTGGTAGAAGTGGGTTAAATAATAAACAGCCTTTGGTCCCAAAAGGGTCTAATTATTAAGGACTACCTTAATTATACTTAGGAACAGGATTCAAACCAGAAAAAACGTTTCTCAGGTTTTTTTCTCTTCTTATGCAACAATCGAAATTTACTTGAAAACTAGGGACTGAAAAACAACAACAAAAGAAAAAAATATATATGAAAAAAGAGAACACGTTTAGGAAGGACAGTGAAC